AAAAAAAAAAAAAAAAAAAAAAAAAAAAAAAAACTCTCTGGGTGCTATTTTAATGCATTGAATTCCTATCATGTGTACAAAATCAAAGAGTCTGCTAATGTTTTTAAACAATTTTAATGAACTGAAAAAAGTGGAGAAAGCAAATTTAGTATTTTTTGAGGTCTGATTAGAGCAATTCGGGGACCGTTGCAAGACAACTGTCCCTGAAAATGAATGATAGACGTAAATTTTTTTTCATTTTGTGGCGTTGTCGGATAATCTTCGAAAAAGCCAAAAACTTGTTACTTTACCGTACTGCAATGTCATGGGGAAATGGGTATAATTTGCTCATTTCGGAACACTTCTTGCAAATACAGTACTGTGATTAGTGCACTGATGGAAAAGTGCAGTTTATGAATATATAGCAGGTTTACTCTCTCTCTATCTCTCTCTACAATAAAATGAAAAACATAGTTGCAGAGAGAATTTTGTTGAAGACGACCATTATAACAAGGGAAGAGAACAGTATGGGACCAAAAAAGTCGTTCTACTGATAATATCGTTGTAGACGAGATCATTGTAAAGAGAGTCAACCTGCTGTACTTGCTACCTAAACACAATCACAAAGAAGAAAGAACTACAGTATACAATTGATTATAATGGCTTTTTCAATGTGATATTGCACATGAGGGAACATAAAAATTCAATAAACAACAAATCTAAAATTTAACGTCTAAACGGGAAAGTCAGGTAATTCTCCGTACATTTACAGCACGAGGAATTCAAACTTTCACAATCGAGGCACAAATGGAAAAGGAAAATTTGCACTTCAGCCGAGATGTTGTGTGATATCGAACTTGCCATTCATAGTCCTCATGGGATCATTTCAATCAGGGGTTCGAATAAATACATTAACTGCATATTCCTCACTTTTGCAATGCGTCGAAGTTGTGTGTCCAATCACCCTGGAACCAACTGGCGTGAGTGAACAAATTAAATGGTGTCCTGTTGCCATTGTAATGGCGGTAGAAATTTGCCCCTAGCAATTCCAATGCTTCTGCTTCACTCTCCGGTCTAAAAAATGAAAAAAAATCATCAGAATTATTTTCAAATATGATCGATTCTCTTTCATGCATGAAACAAGT